CTGTTTTTTTTTTTTTTTAAAGTTTATTTATTTATTTTGAGAGAGGGAGGAGGGGCAGAGAGAGACGGGGAGAGGGAGAATTCCAAGCAGGGTTCTGCACCGTCAACGTGGAGCCCGATGTGGCGCTCGAACCCACAAACTGTGAGATCATGACCTGAACTGAAACCAAGAGCCGGACGCTGAAGCTAATGAGCCACCCCGGTGCCCCCTAACACTGTTTGGAGGGGACATATAACCTCCTGTGATCGCTTTTCTCCCAGGGTCCCACGGGACTCCTGAACAGCCTGCAGCCATATTGCAGTTTGGAGAAAATCTGCCTCTGCTTTGCTAGTTGATTATCGTCAGAGCCCACACTGCAGTTATAGTTGGAGGGCGCTAATTCCGCACCCCCCCCCGCCACCACTCCGAGGACTCTACTCTCCAGGGGTAAAACACCAGAGGATCAAGACCCCCCTCGTATTTTGCAACAAAGATGAGCAAGAAGAGGAATTTGACTAGCATAATGGAAGTCTTGGAGATGTTTACTGCCTTTCCAGTCAAGTTCTACACTCCCTCCGATATCAGTGGGCGCTCCCGTTATTTTGGGAGAAATAGCCCAGTTATTATTTGGAGAAAAGAATACACTCTTTCAACAAGTGTAACCATGGAATACAAACACACTTCTGGCACTGTGACAAGAAAACCTGGTGAACAAATGGAACATATTTTGAGGCATTTCTCCAGATACCAGTACTCCCCGCTGTTTTTCTAGCAGGATCAAAGGGATCACTTGGTTTCAAGCTTTGAGTAACCCTGGAGATGATTCGGGACAGATTTCTCCTGAGTAAACTCATCAGGACGAAGGAAAGCAGAACACTGAGAGCCCTTTTCACTGTTACCTCCTGGAATCTAGAAGAACCAAATGTGGGGTTTAGAAGACCTTCCCCCCCCCCGCCCCGCCCCCATCGTGAAATATGGATTTGTTGACTTTGAACACTTCTCTGAAGAAGCCAAGACCTGAGGCCAATCGGGCAAGTTCATGTATGTATTTAATGACCTGCTGTCTTTTGTCCTTTTGAATGTGCAAATGAGGGGCGGGGGTTGGTGAAAGGAGCCTAATGGTGAATTTGGGGGCACTCTAATAATAAAAATAATCCCTACATATTACTAAGAATGATATGATTTAACTACTAATGTTGGGTTCTCACTGGGTGCCTGCCACTGGGCTAAAGCGCTCACTGTAGAGCCATTCTCTCACGTAATCCCTGCCACAGCCCCATTATTCTGTCACATTCTCTCCCTCCTCCCTCCACCTCACTTTTTCATGGTCTATGCTTCCTTCTTTTTCTCCGTCACCAGGGGGGCCTGCGTGAATCTCACAATGCTGACATCGAGAGAATGCCAGGACCATTCTTTCTGAGAAGATTATATATATACACATATAAATATATAGATAACAACAAAAATATAAATAACATATATAAAATGAATTTAAAATTTTAAACATATATGAAGTTATATGATGATATATATCATATATTAACGTAGATACAATTCTATTTTGTGATGCGGGGCACCACACAATGGCCACAGACCTATTCTGCACCCAAAGGGGAGATCAGCACTCCCCAGGAAACAGTATTTCAGCTGGCACCACCTGCCCGGAGACTCCATTTCACTGGGACACTCACCTGAGGTGCTGCTACTTCGGACTCTTCGGGTTGAGATCTGTCACCATCCACGGCCTGTGCGGTATCCGCGTCGGTCCGGGCCTCCTCTACACCTGCTCCTTCCCCAGTGGGAAGAGCTGCCTTCTCCATCTCTGCCTCCTCCACCGGGGCCTCCTCAGCAGCCGAAACCAAGGTTGCAACAGTCACATCAGCATCCGTCCCAGGCACGACCTGCAAACCGGGAACCGGACAGGTTGTGTCTGTACCTCCATGGGACTCAACAAGAGTCAGACTCGGCCCTTCCACTTCCATCCCCTCTCCTGAGGCTCATCAGATGTCGAAGTTCTCTGTGACGTACCGAAGCCCAGGATTCAGGCATGGTGGGGCCCGCCCTCCGTCCATCAGAGCTGACCTCTCTTCCATGGGAACAAAAGGCACGGCACAGGGAACAACGGCCAATGGGAGTGTAATGGCACTGTTGGGTGCCGATGATGGGTACACTTATGGTGAGCAGAGCAGAACGCACAGACTTGTCAAATCACTATGCTGTACACATGAAACTAACGTAACCTGCTGTGTCATCTACACTTCATTTAAAAAAAACGGAAAATGACAACCCTTCTTCCTGAGCCCCCAACGATGCCACATTCCCCAGCTTCCCTTGCACTTCACGGCAAATGGAATTTGAATGAACGTGATGTATGTCATTCCTGAGACATGGCTTTTAAGGGTGGGTGGTCCCCTTCCCAAGGTATTTCTATTTTTGTCGCCTGAAAGTGGATGGTGGCAAAGCCCTAGAAGATATCTGAGTCACAAAATGGATGGGGACCGACCCCAAAACCCGGATCAGGGAAGAAAGCTACATTAAGAAAAGCATCCTCACCATGCAAAGTCAGAATTTAGAAAAACTGCATTTGAGTATAAACTCTAAAATCTTCGTGGGGAAGGTCCCAGAAGCTAAATCGCAATCGTGAAAAAAATATATTGGGGAGTTTTCTCAATGGGACTTCCTGGGAATGAAGGGGAAAAAAGTTTTGTTATAAAATATGCATTGTAATCAAAAATCAAATCAAATTTGGGGTCCTTTAATATGAGAAGTCAACTAGAAAAGAAGTTAAAAAAATTTCTTTTGGGAGGGCTGGGTGGCTCAGTCAGTTAAGCTTTTGACTTCAGCTCAGATCACGATCTCATGGTTCATGAGTTCAAGCCCCGCATAGGGCTCTGTTCTGACAGTTTAGACTGGAACCTGCTTTGGATTCTGTGTCTCCCTCTCTCTCTGCTCCTTCCCTGCTCACACTCTCTCCCTCAAAAATAAATAAACATTAAAAAAAAATTTATTTCTAAGGTTGGACATAGTCAAAGAAGAGCTTTAAGTAGCATTTAAAACTTGCAAAAATTAAATAAAATGCAATCAGAAGTTTTATTTTTGAACAGATTGGTTATAGAGCACACATCTAAGACTCTAACATCAGTTTGGCAGGCCTGATTTGCAAAGTTCAAATCAGAAAAGACTGAGGAAGAAGAATATTCAATTGATCTTATATAATACACCCAAGACACATATTTCAAAAAAGTGATCTGCTGTGATTAGCATTAGCTGTTCCTCTTCTCTACTGAATAAATTCCAGCCAGCTTGTCCCGTTAGGTTAGGAAAGTTCTAGTGTTGCTGATATTGACTGCCACACCCAGAACAGGAAATGGACAGTGCAAAGCAGGCATCAGAAGTGAAGATGGAGAATGTGAGCCACAGACTTAATATCAGAGCAGCACAGTTTAAAATTTTTTTAAATTTTATTCATTTTTGAAAGAGAGAGCGCAAGCAGGGGAGGGGCAGAGGGAGAGGGAGACACAGAATCCAAAGCAGGCTCCAGGCTCCGAGCTGTCAGCACAGAGTCCCATGCAGGGCTTGAACCCACAGACTGTGAGATCATGACCTGACCTGAAGTCGGATGCTCAGCTGATTGAGCCACCCAGGCACCCCCAGGGCAGCACATTAAAAAACAAAACAAGGGGTGCCTGGGTGGCTCAGTCGGTTAAGCGGCCGACTTCAGCTCAGGTCATGATCTCGCGGTCCATGAGGGCCGTGAGTTCGAGCCCCGTGTTGGGCTCTGTGCTGACAGCTCAGAGCCTGGAGCTTGTTTCCGATTCTGTGTCTCCCTCTCTCTGACCCTCCCCTGTTCATCCTCTGTCTCTCTCTGTCTCAAAAATAAATGAATGTTAAAAAAAAAATTAAAAAACAAAACAAAACAAAGAACCCTTCTTCTGACTCAAATTTATAGGTAACAGATGAAAGAAAACCAACCCACCACAGAATGCATTTGTCTATAACATAATATTGTGCTTTCGGGATGAAAAACAGTGCTAACAGCTATCCTATTTGTTACATGGCCAAGTATTACTCATATTCTTAGAAATTTACTTGCCTGCCTTATAGGAATTTGGCTCTCCACACAGTGTGCAGTGATCCAACATGTAGTCACAAACCATGACGTACCATTTCCTTCTTTTTTTTTTCCCTACCCCATCTTTAAAGTACTGGGTTCAGAAAAGTAATGCTTATATGAATGGTAACACATTCATTTACAGCAAATTTATATGTGAACAATTATTGAAGTGGGGATTCAGATTCTGGTGAATGATGGCACATTCCCCTAAATACAAAGTTTGTTCAAAAATTTAAGAGAACTGCATTTCTTGTTTTAAGTGAACACGTCTTTGTGTGCATGTATCGTTGCTGTTGTCAGGGGAGTGATAATCAGCACATAAATCTGCAGGGCATCTTCATTCCAAGAACAATGAACAATTATTCATAGCTTTGCCATTGAAGAAATCAACGGACTGTCTCCAGGATCCTAAGGACTTCCTGGCAAAGTTTCTTCCACATCGGAAACGATATATAGTGTGCATACAGTGGACTTTCAGACTCAAATGTAGAAAGCATGTGGTGTTATCATAATTCTGAGTCACTTATGCTTTCCATCTGCTTGAAAACTCACACCTATGGAGTATCTCCCTACTCTTCAATGGCATCAAACCAGATGGATTGTGTATCATGCAGATGGTACACACACATGCACACATACACACAGTCACAGATCAAAAGGCAACCATTGTGTTGTTGAACAGGCTACCCCTCCCAATGATTATGCACAAATCCTTCCATCCATATATGTGCCAAGCACAAACCACTAGGGATTGGATTTTACTCTCAACTGAACTGATGTATGTCCAGAAGAGAATATATTTCTGTGAAGTCTTAATGGTGCTGTCAAAAATAACTTAACTCTCTCCATACAAAAAGAATGTTAATCAGGAGTCCCTGATTTATCTCTAGTGCTCTAAAGAGCTATCAGGTTGATCATACCAGATCTTACGACTGCAAGATATACCTGGCAGTATGTTATCACCTTGCCTTTGCTAAATAATTTAAACAGCTGTCATTGGCTGGATGTGATTGAGACCTTGATAGTGTGGCTGCTGTGATTCCAGCCACCAGCAGGTGGAGGCCAAGGGCAATGTCTGTCCCCAGCTCGGATGTTTTGCTGATCTCAAAGGAGCAAATACCCCAGTTTCCACTGGTCAGCAATTTACCTGATCTGTCACATACACGAAAAGGGGGGGGGGGGGGGGGGGGGGGGAGGGGAGAATGATGGCCAACACAAATCACCAAAAGATTTAAATTAAAAATGTTAGTAAAGGCGAAGTGTCAAGGAAACAGACACTTTGACTACAGATAAATAAATAAGACATTAAAACAATTCTAAATGAACTACTTGGAAGAGGGCAGAAATTAACACGCTCCCATTCTTCTCTTGAGTCCATTAGCAATGAATTCCCATTTCTCTAGCTAAACATAACACTTAGATTTTACAGACCTTAAGACTATTTCAGAAACACAGAAAGACTGTCTGCTACCTGTCTTCCTTCCTTTCTGCCTCCAGAACTGGCTTTGAAAATCAAGAATGCCCAATCCTCCTTTTATGTCTGGAATCTGTTCCACATTTTCTGCTCTTACCAAAATATCTCCAATACATATTTACTGACTGTAATAACAGAACAACATAAACATACACTGGAAAACAGGACTCCATTTGCTCAGACTAGGTGTGAGCTCCAGATAATATCAGAGACAGATTGAAAAAGTGATTTTCAGTGACAGAGTTATCCCTCTTTTTGTTATTATTTTTATGGGTTCCAATTTGTTAGCTATTTGTAGATTCAGAAATGGGAAACATTTTCTGGACTCTTCTTACTTACTACTAGAGATGTTACAACTGCTAGGAAACACCACAATGATTAATGACTGCTATCTGTTGTTTGTTTGTTTTTTTAAGTGTCATCGGGGAGACCAGAGGACTGAAACTAGTGAAAGTATTTCAAGCCTATGACAGTCAATGTTGTTAAATTTTTCTTGTCCCCGCAAATGTTAAGAGAAACACCATTATCTTAACTTCTGCCCCAAACGTACTATCTGTGTGGCACCTGGGTGGCTCAGTTAAGTGTCTGACTTCAGCTCAGGTCATGATCTCACAGCTCGTGGGTTCGAGCCCTGCATCGGGCTCTGTGCTGACAGCTCAGAGCCTGGAGCCTGTTTCCGATTCTGTGTCTCCCTCTCTCTCTGCCCCTCCCCTGATCACATTGTCTCTCTTTCTCTCAAATATAAATAATCATTAAAGAAAACCTGTACTATCTGTTGGCCAAATAGATTTATGGTGGGAAACAGCTCATGCAAAGAGATATAAAAAAGTTCTCCCTGCCCTCGGGCACATGTTGACTGTACCCAATAGGCCCACTGAAGCAAAGGCATCCTGACTAGTGGCAATTTGTACATGCATCACAAAAACCACAAGCACCAGCAAGGGCTCTCACTTTATCACACCACGCAGATCTTACTGCTGGAGCTTCTGCCTCAACAATCTCTTTGATGGAAAGCATTTTGGTCCTGGCATTCGTGCCAAAGCCCTTCCAAACACCTGTTAGCAAAGCTTCCAGAAGTGGAATGCAATGAATTCAATGCAGCAATGGGGTGTGTATCCCACAAAGCAGGGAAACACAACAGGATGATGGAAACCAGCCAACCTCTCCAGGAGATGGCGCCCGGAAAGCAGGTCCACAGGGACCCAGATTCCAGACAAGAGTAGTGATTGGCTACACAATAATTTGCAATCTTGTGTAATTTATTGATTTATTTTGTTTACTCATTGTTTGTTTTCTTGGCAATGTTAGCTCTG